AGTTTGTGTAGAGAAATATAGAGAGAAAAGGGAGAGATAATGTTTTTACAGAGAGAGATATACAAAAGTGATCTGAAATATCAAATTCACGAACTGATATAACATGGTTCGCTCGAGCATGGAAAGCCCCGCTCGAGCGTTGAATACACTTTCCCAGTACTTTTGCAGACAGGTCAAACTTCTAGAACCAAACATTCTCCGCTCGAGCGCATAAACGGCCGCTCGAGCGGACAAGCAACTTCGAATACATTTTGCATTTTTGCTTCGGGGCGCTGTCCCTCGACCCCACCAAGGCGTTGCCCTCGGATCCGTCAAGGGGCGCTGCCCCTTGGACCCCCGTAAGCTGACCGAGCAGCTCAATCCCCGATATAGTCAGCGAAGTGGCAAACACATGAAAGATACGCTACAACCTGATACAAACATGAGACATTACCTGTTCCAAACACACCGCTACAACCTGATAACCAAAATAAGGGGAATATAGGGAACTAAGATACGTAACACCATTCAAAATCAAACCAACCCGAGCCCGAAACACCCCAGAGAGACAGGTCAAAACCGAGATCGCTACATGATCCAACATTATTCTTATACTACAAAAAGAGACTTGATCCAATAACCATATTTATGTCTATATTCATAATGAATTCAACATACAAAGCAATCCTTGGAAATTCTCTGGGTTTAAGACCTTGAACATTCAAATCTCTCTGGACTAACATTCAAATTTCTCTGGACTAACATCAAATTTCTCTAGATCTCTGGGTTAACATAAAAAACCCTTGTACCTTTTTCAAATTTCTCTGAACTAACATTCAAATTTCTCTGGATCTTTGGACTAACATAAAAAACCCTTAACCCTTTCACAAATTTCTCTGGACTGATATTCAAATTTCTCTGGACTAACATCAAATTTCTCTAGATCAACATTCAAATCCCTCTATCTATCCAGAGAAAATTGAACACCACAGTAAAAATTAAACAAGGCAGAGAAAATTAACCAAACCAGAGAAATTTTAGCACAAATTTCTTACATAGAGTATTGAGAAAGGTTTAATAGCAAGGTAGTTTTGTTTTCACTACCTTGAGATTATAAGGAAGGGTTCCTAATAACAAAAAGTTAAATAAGGAAGAATTTCTGTAAACTTGCACTATTAGTAGCTTATGATCATAGTAAACAAATTGAAAAACTAGAAAGACTACCTTGTTATTTTTTGCATCTTCAATGATATCCTCAAGCAGATCAATTCTACAAACTTGCCCAGATCAAGTAACCACAGTGTTCAAGGTAGGCTCATCCTCAAAATCAACCATTTCACCAGAAAAGATGTTTTTTATGGAAGCATCATTGAAACTACCACTTGATCCTGGTTTCTCGTGATCACTATTTATAACTGCTAATTGAAAACTGCCTTCTGGAACATCTGGTGCGCATTCTTGGATGGGTGATGGAGCCACCTGAACCACAAAATTCTCTACCTCTGATTGATTAACATCTAACCGTAATTGTTCTTAATGGTTTTCTTCATGGACCGTAGCGAGGAGGAGGAGAGGTGATGGGATCGGGGGATCAATGCTCTGAAGAAGCTTCGAGAGTGGTCGGAGATTGTCGTCGAGCCATGGTGGAAGACCTTCACATAGCGGTTCAATCGGAGCAAGAGTTGCCGAGGAGTTCTTGACATAGGGCTTCTTAGATTGATCGAGTTGGATCGACGAGAGAGAGAGAGAAGAACAGCGAGAAGAGAGAAGATGTGAGGCATGAGTCTGAAAGAGAGAAGAGAGAGAGAGAGAGAGAGAGAGGTGAAGGTTTGAAGCCGTGAGGTATATCAAATTTCTCTGTAATACATGGGTGTGAGGTTGAGGGATCTTAGACATCATAAAATAATATTGTAGATCTCTCCTATTACTAAAAATGGAAAATGGACCTTAGACTAATCTTTCTTATTTTTTTTATCTTTGATTTTTCTCTATTTTTTTAAATCAAAAAGTTGACTTAAAAGAAGTTGTGAAACTAAATTTGTCGCCTCTCACCACTTGGGGTTAAATTACTATTGATGATGTCATGACCTGAAATGGATAAAAGAAGTAGTGAATCTCACATGGTATTGGTGTAGTGTAAACTAAAGACCCTCCAACAAATAAATTAGAGAAGAAAGCTTGAAAAGAAAGCTAGGAATTAGGATTCGGGTATTGATTTCCCTAATGAATTGAACATGTCAACCTTATATAGTTTGGTCTTCACATGTTGATAAGTGGTCTTTAGTGGTTCAAGATTCCTTTCAACCGTTGTGCCTACACGTGTCCTCATTTACAATGTTAGTTATAACTCTCGTACAGATGTAATTGTGAGAATAACTTAACCATGTTCGAAACTACACGTGTCCTCATTTACATTTTTGCAATTATTAACAAATTATGATTGTGTGGAAGCATTGGGTGCAATAAAAGCGCTTCAATTGGGTTGTGATTTGGGCTCGAGTAATATTCAGCTTGAAGACGATTCTCTTAATGTGGTGTCTGCAATTCAAGGCAAGACGAAAAACTTGTCTTGTTATGGTCATTTGATGGGTGTTGCTCAGGTGCTACTCTTACGATTCCATTCTTCATAGGTCTCGCATGTTTATAGAGAAGGCAATTCTGTGACACATTGTTCAAGTAGGCTAGCCTTTGATTTTGATTCACCACGAGTTTGGATGGAGGAGGTCCCTCTCTCTTTACTGATGTTGGTGGCTTCTGAGGTTCCTATTTCTTTGTAATTGCTTTTCCTATCTAAAAAAAAAAACTATGATTGACTAAGCTTGCATTTTTTTTGTTTATATATATTTATAAAATTTTGAAAGTTGTAAACAAAAAATTATTTGATGTTTATTTTCATTTTTTTAAAATTGTTAGTAGTTTACAAAATTTATTAAACTCTTAACTTAAAACAAATTAGTTTCACAAGTTTAGAAAAATAAAATTTCTTTCTCTCTTCAATTCCTTCAAGCCACCTATTCCTCATCACCACCATCGGGCATCACATCTGGCCACTCTCACCCCACCTCCGGCCACAATCGCCAACAATCTCCTCTAGCATCCCCTCTAGCCACCATCTCTCACGATCGACAACTACCTTTGGTCGCTAACAACTATCGGCCATTGACGGAAATCGCCTCCATCTCTCACGATCGACAACTACCTTTGGTCGCTAACAACTATTGGCCATTGACGGAAATCGCCTCCAAGCACTGATAACCACATCTTGCTGGAAACTACTTTTGGTTGCCTCCTGCCGAAAATCTCCTCTAACACTATATCCGGTTGTCAGCAATTACTTTTGATTACTCCCTTATTTTCAAAACAAAATTTAAAACATATATGCGTATTAAACATTTTTTTATTTATCAAAAATAAATATAAACATGATTAATTTTTAAGTATAATCAAATTGTTTGGCCTTAATTGTAAAGAGCAAGTTCAAACAGTTTAATTAACTTGTCTTTGTCCAGCCTCGTTGCGTTGGACTTTTCAATTTAGTTTGCTTCCACGAAAAAAACGCTTGGGATTTTGGACACACTGGTTAATATTTTTAGAGAAATATTATATATGATTGATTTTATATATATATATATATATGTCAGTTTTTACATGAATATTAATAATTAATTCTCTTATGTAAATTTAATTGTTAAAATATATATATTTTTGGATTCATAATTATTAAAATATTTAATAAAAATAAATAATATCTTATTATATAATTTGATAAAAAAAATTAAATAATATATAACAATCCTAGTATTTTTAATCATGCCTAAGTTGTTAAGTATTTGAACCCATAACCCTAAGACTGTCATCGTCAATCCTAGACATTTATTGAAGTATTTAATGAATTAATAAGATTAAGTGATATGATTTGCCACGGCACAACTGAACGGTTGGAAGCCACATCATCTTCCCACCAACTTCAACAAGGAGCTTAAAATATGTGCTGGGCTAATCATGACGTGGCACGGCACCATTCTGCCATATATATTATAATAAAATTAATGTGTATTTATACAAAAACGATAAACATAGGAATGGAATGTTATAAGAAATTCTTGACAAAAATAATGTTGTGGTGACATTTTTTAAAATATGACAAAAATTCATATCATTTGTGTTATATATATATATATTTATCTAGAAATTCTAATTATATAACACTACTCCTGTTATTATTATGAGGATCATGTTAACAACCACCATCTGATTTGTGGTTGAGATCAAAATTTTCACAGCTAATTCATACACCATGGATTTGCTAGACAACCAATAAGATGGTGCCACATCAGCAAAATTAGCAAAATTCTGTCCTATAAAGCAAGATTTACTTTCTTCGTAAGCTTTGCATTGCACCAACATTTTTTTGCCTATAAAGCATTTGGCATCCCCTGTTAATAGTCAACATTACAAACTTTTGTTTGTGAATCTAGGAGCAAAGATGGTCTCTAACCAACTATGGCTTTCTCACAATCAACTCTTTCACCGCTTCTTCTTTCTTTACTTGTTTAGGTAGCATTACTATATAGATATAGATTGTTATCTGTGAATAATTTTAAATCTGAATAGGCTAATGATTGGCATATTAAGGAGTGGTCTCTTCGTCTTTCTATTATACAATCAAATGGCTAACACTGCTGCAGGTATATTGAAGGTGGAAGGGGATTTTGCTGTTCCTGATATGGCCCCCTGTGGGGATGAGAATGATGATGTGCATAGATTGAAGTGAGTTTTGTGCTTGGCTCTGGTGAGTGTGTTGTTTGCGATTTATTTCTTTCTTGCTCTCTGCTCTGCTAGACTACAAAAAACCAGTTTTTTTTTTTTTTTTTTTTTTTTTTTTTAAACATATGAAAGAGTTGGAAAAACCAAAGAGATTTCTTTGAAATGATTAGTTTATTATGTGCTCCCCAATGATTGAGTAGTTGCCTTGAAACACAGAGAACAAAAGCAGGAGAGAAAGAAAATAGAGGAAGAAGATGAAGTCTACAAATGACAACAATGGCAGCAATAGTCATAATAACAACTGGTTGGGTTTCTCTCTCTCACCCTACATGAAAATGGAGGTTTCTTCAAACCCTCATCATCAGTACAATCATCATCATCATCAACCTAAGCAAGTTCTTCCTTCTGGCTTCTCTCTCTCCCCTTCTTCACACCTCAACAGCTCTGCAATGTGTTATGGGGTTGGAGAAAATGTTGGCTTTCACTCACCCTTGTCTGTAATGCCTCTCAAGTCAGATGGATCTCTCTGTATCATGGAAGCTCTCAGTAGATCACAACCACCACCACCACCACAAGGTTTGCTTTCTTTTCTCTTCTCTTTCCTTTTTTCTTTTCTTCTTTGTGTTCTATGTTTTGAAATCTTTTTGGGTTTGAAAAGGGATGGTGCCAAACTCTTCCCCTAAACTTGAGGACTTTCTTGGTGGTGCAACAATGGCAGCCCACCACCAATACAGTACCAATGAGAGAGAAGCAATGGCTCTAAGCTTAGACAGCATGTACTACCACCACCAAAATGCTGATCAACAAACCAATAGGCAACAACAACAGCAAAAGATGGATGAAGTTCAACAACACCAGCATTATTACAATGGACTCTCATGCAATGATGGGTTGTACCAACAGACACCACTGGAGGAGCAGAGAGAAGAAGAAACCAGGGAGACCCAACTTGCAGACTGATAATACCCAAATCACTGCTTGCCTGAAAAATTGGATTGTGGTGGAGGATAGTGGTGGCGCGTGTGGGTCAGGTGGTGGTCCAGTGGGTGGTTGTGGGGATTTACAGTCTCTGAGCTTGTCAATGAGTCCTGGTTCTCAGTCAAGCTGTGTCACAGCTCCAACCCAGATCTCACCTACTGGAACTGAGTCCACAGTCATGGAAACCAAGAAGAGAGGGTCTGCAAAAGTTGCTCTGAAGCAACCTGTTCATAGGAAGTCCATTGACACATTTGGGTGGAGAACCTCTCAGTATAGAGGTGTTACAAGGTCTGTTCGTGCCTATTTTTGTGATTTATTTCCATTTCCTACTAGTTACGTTTTTGTGTTCTCCAATACCTAGGCCTTTTATTTCTTGATTTTCTTGACATTTCTGTTTTTAACCTGACAATCTAGGAATATCACACAAAAATTCATATCATTTGTTATATATATATATATATCTAGAAATTCTAATTTATATAACACTACTCCTGTTGTTATTATTATGAGGATCATGTTAACAACCACCATCTGATTTGTGGTTGAGACCAAAATTTTCACAGCTAATTCATACACCATGGATTTGCTAGACAACCAATAAGATGGTGACACATCAGCAAAATTAGCAAAATTCTGTCCTATAAAGCAACATTTACTTTCTTCGTAGGCTTTGCATTGCACCAACATTTTTTTGCCTATAAAGCATTTGGCATCCCCTGTTAATAGTCAACATTACAAACTTTCTTTGTGAATCTAGGAGCAAAGATGGTCTCTAACCAACTATGGCTTTCTCACAATCAACTCTTTCACCTCTTCTTGTTTCTTTACTTGTTTAGGTAGCATTACTATATAGATATAGATTGTTATCTGTGAATAATTTTAAATCTGAATAGGCTAATGATTGGCATATTAAGGAGTGGTCTCTTCGTCTTTCTATTATACAATCAAATGGCTAACACTGCTGCAGGTATATTGAAGGTGGAAGGGGATTTTGCTGGTCCTGATATGGCCCCCTGTGGGGATGAGAATGATGATGTGCATAGATTGAAGTGAGTTTTGTGCTCGGCTCTGGTGAGTGTGTTGTTTGCGATTTATTTCTTTCTTGCTCTCTGCTCTGCTAGACTACAAAAAACCAAGTTTTTTTTTTTTTTTTTAACATATGAAAGAGTTGGAAAAACCAAAGAGATTTCTTTGAAATGATTAGTTTATTATGTACTCCCCAATGATTGAGTAGTTGCCTTGAAACACAGAGAACAAAAGCAGGAGAGAAAGAAAATAGAGGAAGAAGATGAAGTCTACAAATGACAACAACAATGGCAGCAATAGTCATAATAACAACTGGTTGGGTTTCTCTCTCTCATCCTACATGAAAATGGAGGTTTCTTCAAACCCTCATCATCAGTACAATCATCATCATCATCAACCTCAGCTAGTTCTTCCTTCTGGCTTCTATCTCTCCTCTTCTTCACACCTCAACAGCTCTGCAATCTGTTATGGGGTTGGAGAAAATGGTGGCTTTCACTCACCCTTGTCTGTAATGCCTCCCAAGTCAGATGGATCTCTCTGTATCATGGAAGCTCTCAGTAGATCACAACCACCACCACCACCACAAGGTTTGCTTTCTTTTCTCTTCTCTTTCCTTTTTTCTTTTCTTCTTTGTGTTCTATGTTTTGAAATCTTTTTAGGTTTGAAAAGGGATGGTGCCAAACTCTTCCCCTAAACTTGAGGACTTTCTTGGTGGTGCAACAATGGCAGCCCATCACCAATACAGTACCAATGAGAGAGAAGCAGTGGCTCTAAGCTTAGACAGCATGTACTACCACCACCAAAATGCTGATCAACAAACCAATAGGCAACAACAACAGCAAAAGATGGATGAAGTTCAACAACACCAGCATTATTAGAGCATCTCCAACGGTAATAGGCATTTTACCTATTTAAACATTACTATAAAGTATATATTTTATTTTGCCTATCAACTATTTCATGTTTTTACTCCAACCATGCTCTTTATTTTAGCTATTCATCTAAATACTATTAATTTTATAAAATGCCATATCAGCAACAAAGATGGAGGGAAATGATCCTAATGATTAAATACATTTTGCCTAGCCTTGAAGGCTAGCTACATGTAGCTAGTGAATGTGAGTTGAGCTAAAATGCCTAATCATATGCCTAGTGCATTGGAGTTGAAAAAAATGAGTTATACTAGGTATTTTGACTAACAAGCATGATATACCTAGTGGGTTGGAGATGCTCTTACAATGGACTCTCATGCAATGATGGGTTGTACCAACAGACACCATTGGAGGAGCAGAAAGAAGAAGAAACCAGGGAGACCCAACTTGCAGACTGTGATAATACCCAAATCACTGCTTGCCTGAAAAATTGGATTGTGGTGGAGGATAGTGGTGGCGCGTATGGGTCAGGTGGTGGTCCAGTGGGTGGTTGTGGGGATTTACACTCTCTGAGCTTGTCAATGAGCCTTGGTTCTCAGTCAAACTGTGTCACAGCTCCAACCCAGATCTCACCTACTGGAACTGAGTCCACAGTCATGGAAACCAAGAAGAGAGGGTTTGCAAAAGTTACTCTGAAGCAACCTGTTCATAGGAAGTCCATTGACACATTTGGGTGGAGAACCTCTCAGTATAGAGGTGTTACAAGGTCTGTTCGTGCCTATTTTTGTGATTTATTTCCATTTCCTACTAGTTACGTTTTTTGTGTTCTCCAATACCTAGGCCTTTTATTTCTTGATTTTCTTGACATTTCTGTTTTTAACCTGACAATCTAGGAATATCACGGACAGGGACCAACAAACCCTCCTCTGGATCAGTGGTGGGATCAAAGGCAAAAGCAACTAGACAGAAATTGTCTTTACAAGAACCATCATTTTCATCAATTACAACATTTGCACCCCCAACCATGTACAATATAATTGACAAAAGTAATGATCAAGACCAATTCTCCACAATTTATACAACATAATTGACAAAACTGCATATAAACTGAAAAGAGAAGGAAGTGAGAAATATTACATTTGTTAGGTCACCAACAGATACAAACGGCATATGATTAATAACAAAAATAATAACAATCAAGTCTGATAGTTAAACCAAAAAATAGTAATAATCAAAGTCTTACAGCAACAAGAAGCCTGATAGAAGAACACAGACATTACATGGTAATTAGAAAGATATCTGACAAAAGTACCAAGCTTGGTGAGGAAGGCTTGAATTCTGGAAGAAAAGAACTCAAATCCACAACAAAAGCAACCAGAAGCCTGATAGAACACACATTATATGGTAACTGGAAGAGGTCTGACAAAAACACCAAGCCCAGTGAGAACTTCATGTAATAGAGGCATGAATTCTGGCACGAAAGAGGTCAAAGTCCGATCAATAGTATCATTTGTTATGTTACGATCCTAGGTCACAAAAGACATCAAAGATTAGAACAAATTGAAAAGATAGAAAATAATAATAATAAATGAAGGTGTTGGTATATATCCATACATAATCTTTGACGTGTGTGACTGCATGTCTGTTATATTTTAGGAAAGACATGGGTGTATTGCTGTAGTCAACTGATGGAGATGGCAGCTGTGACTGTGTTTGGGGCAGCTGTGACTGTGTTTGGGGCAGCTGTGTCTGTGGTGGTTGCTGCTGTGGCTGCACAGACATCTGTTGTTGTTGTTGTTGTGGTTGTGGAGGAGTAAGAGACCCGAACTGCAGCGGGGGCAACTGCGATGGAGGCGATGGAGGTGGTGTTTGGTTATGTTGGTAATGCAATATTGTCTCAAACACCTTCCCATGAATTCTTTCCATCCAAGACCATCGAGAATTTTTTTGGGGTGAAAGCTCTTGTCCTAACTTCCTGTTAACCATGATCCGCAACTGGCAATTTTGATGGTGCTTTACAAGAGGATAGGCAACTAGCCTATACTCGCATCTTGCATTTGGCGTCAACATGATTGGATGATTAATTGCATTCATCAAATGCCTGTATAACAAAAAGTGTGAGAATCAATAGTAATAAAAACACTATACAATACTTAAAAAATCATAATTAAAGAAAAACTGTACTTTTCAAATTTGATGTATTTTTGCAAGTATCTGCACAAATGATCCAAACCAAAGGGAAGTTTAGACCCTTTGGACTTGAAGAGAGACCTGACCATGCCGCAGAACTTGTCAATGTCATCCCCAAATGTCTTCTCGTACCACTCAGGATTTAGAGCTTTGCCCAACTTGGCATTTCCATTAACCAAGTAGACATTGTTTGCACAAATTTCTCCATGTGGTTGTCTCAATGTACATCTGAAGTATATGATGCCATTGAGTATATCCCTACAGAGTAAATGACAAAAAAAAAAATTGAATGAAAAGACAAAAAAACAAATGAATGAATTACTGGGATAAATAGCAAAGATGACATAGACATACACCTACCCCAATATGCCAATAAAAGGCTTACTCAGCCTTTCAGGATACTCAGAATCAATGAGAGGGTTTTTCTTCACCCAATCGTGTAGAGTTCCTTCTACCAGCTCTGTGAAAAGCAACTCTTTGCCAACAGAACTACTTTGACACTTTCCAATTACTCTCAGTAAATACGGGCTGCAGTGACTCATTGCAAACTCGTACCACCATTGTAAATCTTTTGATTGTGACTCAAGGTGGTACACCACTTTTATACTACTTTGTGTACTTCCAATGTAACCAGTATACATGTTTGAATCCTTCATTTGTTTTCCTTCTGAAAATTGTATTTCAAATGCTCCAGCAGACTAGAGTCATATAATTAAAACAAAATATATAGATACAAAGTTAGCTATACGATAATATGGATAAAATATTTTACAAAATGGAGGTATAGGATGAAACATACTATGGTATCTGGATCAACAGCCATCTTGAATCAAAATCAACAACTCTAAAATGGGGTCACTCTCTGTAATAGATTAGAATAACAAACCACAATAAAGAGTTAACATACTGCTAGTGCTACCACTTAATCTCCTAAATCCAGGCCATTGACAAAACCAGTAAACTACAAGTACAATAAGGATATGAAGGCAATTAAATCTTCTCTATAACGCATACAATGACAGAAAAAATTAAAAGGTTCTGATTCAATAGACCAGCAAAGGATCTAGCAGTTTTATTGCAAAAATAACAACCACATCAGTTCCCCACATCACCAGCAGTACATGTAGCAGAGGTGAACTCATAAAACTAAACTAACAAGTAACAAATTACTCTACTAAACAATAATTGTACCACCAAAGTATAGACCGATGAATCCCATGAAAATGTTAGTGTCTTAAATTGTAATATCCCTACGGTTATCATCAGTTTTTTAGACTTGAGTGCACATTTGAAGATGAATGCAGCTGCATGAGCTTAACTTAGAGAATCAAAGCTAAAAGAATCAATATATAGTAAAGAAACCTGATGCATGATTGCAGGGCTAAGAAGGTCAACTTAACATTCTGCGCTGATGTTTCGAGCTAAGATAGTCCAAGTGATCATAGTCTTTATCTCAAGGTCGATTAGAAGAAATGGACACAAGGTCTGGAATTTAGTATTATAATTTAAAACAGTTAAAAGTAAAATATAAATCTCTCTTTCTTAGGTCCACATAGACACAAGTACATACCATATGTATTGATCGTATAGGGGGGAACTTATTAGATCACCACTAGTCCCAAAAACTTGAGATGTTAGGAAATGAGCTCAATAATATACATCAAGCTCAAAAGCTTAAGTTGTCTGGAAATGAGCTCAACAATGTATATCAAGCTCTCCAATAGGAACAAGTGACTGTTAGAATGCTGTCATATCAGCATCCATAGAATGCTGTCCTATCAGTTATCATCATCCAACTCTTGTCCATTTTTTGAACCCTACAAGTGAAGCAAAGATTAACGTAGGAATGGACAACAAATAAACAAAAATACTCAACAATGGAATTGCGTATCTTTTAGGTAATAGCAAATTCACTTGTAATCAAGAGTTGTCGTGCCAAAAGAATGTTCTAAATTATTCTCAAGGCACACCCAACAAGGATAAGAAAAAGGACCACCAAAGAATCCATATTGTGATAAGCTAAAAATTTCTGTCAAAACTCAAGCTAATGAAATACCAACTAGGACTTTTAAGGATGGCCATAAAATATGACAATTTGGGTGAAGTAGGATTATAAAGAAAATACAACAAAATTTATAAAAAAAAAAAAATCACACATAATGATGTATCTTATTTATATTATTTAATAAAAATTAAAATGTCTATCACTTTAGTGAATATTATAAAAATAACATTATTTCATCAATTTTGCCTTTAATATCATTTTTGTTTTAATAATGGAGCATCAATCTCCTTGTATTGTCTTTCAAGTGTTCGATGAGACTTTTGCACTATATTTGGCAAAATTTATGAGAAGAATGATACAAGACATGAGCAAATAATTGACCAAATATCTCCATTTATTTATGATGTCTTCAACATAAATAACCAAACATATACTCATTACTAAAGCTGCATATGATTTTTTACCTATTTCCCTATTTTGTAAGGCGGGAAGATGCAGATAATATTTTTCCCTTTATTAAAATTGCTACTCTTAAAAATTTCATACTAAAAAGACAATAAGGTCTAACGTTTGATGAATTTTTATGATGTCCAAATACAAATTTTATTACGTCAAATAGATAACTATTTCTTTGATTATCTTGATGGTATTGCCCACAACAAATTGACATAATCAAAACTCTTTTTGATTTTATTCTACAAGGTAATCACAAGTAAATAGTTCGTTTAGTATTATTTGCCATGCATATTAATCTATTTCAAGGGTTCCTCATAACCTTGAATTCTTCGGCATGTCCATCAAATTTCAAGAAACTATAAACAAAATGACTAGGATATAGAAAATTGAAACACATGTTAGACTGACATATTTGTTCATCCAATTGTTCCCATTCTAATTCGTAATCCTTCTTTTCACCAACTTTTCTTACGTAGAATATTTGGATCATGAACTTGTAATATTATTTAAAGATGGTGATGTATTTTATAGTTATCTTTTGTGTTCTTCCATGTATTAATCAAGAGTTGATAGAACAAAGCCAAAGCTTGATTATCTCACATTCAATATAGAAAAGCGGTATAGTTGAAGAAAAAAAACTACTTACACCAAATAAAATAAATTGAGGTAAGCAATTCTACTCCAAATTTGGGTAATCAATTCAATCAAATGCCCAATTCTTCCAACCATACCAAACCACTAACCAACGTAAACATAGATGAAAATTTACGGTTAGAAATATTCAAGACGTATACGTAATGATGGAAACAAAATTGGGTCAAGTTGATCAAAGAGACATATTTTTAAAGTTGAAATAATAGATAACTTGATCAAATCAGTAGAATCATTGCTCAAACTAAATAACAGATAAGTTGATCAAACTATAGTTGTTCACAGAGTCCTATGGATTGAGTAAAAATAAACTCCAAGAAAAAATACCAACACAAAGCAACATTCCAGTGGCATTGCTGCAGATTTAAGCTAATCAAACAGACTACAGCTGTGGTATTATTCTTCTCTGTCAGATCCATAACACAAAACTCAAACCCATAAAACAAAAATCAAACCCATTTTGGACATGAAGAATTTCATAATTTCATAGAAATCAAACACTTCAACCAATGAGCCCTTAACCGAAATCAATACAAAAATAAACTAAAAAAGCATATATGTCCTAGAGGAAGTGTGAGAAATGGGGAAATAGGGGAAGGGAGAAAGAGAGAGAGAGAGAGAGTGAGTGTGAGAGAGAGAGAGAGAACCAGATCGTAACGCCCAACAGAGGACCGAACAGAGAGAGACAGAGACAAACCTGTGATTTGCGTCAGTGTTGGTGGTGATTTCGGCGTCGGCGGTGGTGGTGGCAACGTGCAACGGTGGGGACAGATGGTGGCCAGCGACGGTGGTAGTGACAATCGGTGGTGAGCTGGCCTCTGGTTTGTGGTGAGTGGTGTGTTTGTGAGACAGAATAGATACAAAAAATATGTGTGAAACAGGCGCGCTAATTCATAAGCTTCCCTCTAATTTTTTTGGCTACTTTTAGCGACCAAATTCTGTTTAGTCGGCAAATAAATGTCTATTTGTCTAATTTGGCTACTAATTACTCTTTTTGTTTGAAAACATTAACCACACAACGACTAAATTATTTTTGTCACTGGTAGTTTAGTAAATATGCCTATTTTTTGGTGACTAAAATTTTTTTGGTCTCCAAAAGGCTATATACGCCGACTAAAATCAGAATTAGTAGCCAAAGAAATAGACAAACGCCTACTAAAACCTTTTTAGTCGCCTATTTATGTGAATTTTAGCGACTAAATTTTTTTAGTCGCCAATAAATAATATATGGCTACTAAAGAATTTTAGTAGCTAAAATTCCAACAATTGGAGACCAAAAGGAAGATTAGTCGATAAAGGTCTGGCTTTTGGCGACTAGACTTTAGTCGCCAAATTTGGTCGCTGAAGGTGCAAATTGTTGTATTGCCTTCACATTAAAATCACAAAAAATACTTAGCATTACATTACAACAATTAATAAGTATCACTTGATCCTTGTTTTTCTTGCATTTTTAGAAGCAAATAAATCAATCATACTTGCATAATCTAATTTTTTTCCAAAATCATTTTCAATGGATAACAATGCTAATCCATTCAATCAATCTTTCTTGACTAATTTTTTGACTCTTTGCTTCTTTTTCTTTTTTGCGAATCCAGACGGATAATTTCTATTAAGAGTTATGATGAGCTGAGATCAAAATATTTTTTTAGATCAAAAATTCAAAACAAGAGCACCACCACCACTTAACAAAACACAAAACTCTTAAATTATGTGATGTGAACTATTAAACTTAAACAAATTCTTCTTGATAATGTAAATACCAATATTATAATAGTAATTAATTGAACAAAAGACAAGACAAATATTTAATTAATTGAATAGAAAAAAGAAAAAAAAAATACTTGTGCTTATAGTGCTGTTGCTGCTGCTCCGTCTGTGTGCTGCTGCATCGTTGCTTGGGTTGGGTTGGGCTGCTGGTGTGGTGTGCTGTCAAACAAACTATAGGTAAAATTGGATTAAGAGAATCTAGAGTTAGGAAAATTGGGCCTTAACTATTGGCCCTTAATTGTTAGGAATTAGGAATTGGATTAATTGTTGAGCCTTTCAAACTGATGCTTTGTTAGTTTTTTTTTTTTTTTTAAAAAAAAAACTTCTACTTTGTTGGGCTACTACTGTCAAAATGTTAGGCCTTTTAATTTTTTAATGGATCAAATTATTTTAGGTTAGTTTGGGCTTTTTTATTTTTTTATTTTTTTGGATTTGAAACATACCTAATATATTATACTAAATTATAATAGGAGGGGCCATTTTTTAGGCCTATTTTGAGGGGCCCTAAGCCATGGCCTTGTGGGCCTATGGCCAGGGTCGGGCCTATGAGTGATGGCGGTGGTGGTGGTGTCAAAAATACCAACACAAAGCAACATTCCAGTGGCATTGCTGCAGATTTAAGCTAATCAAACAGACTACAGCTGTGGTATTATTCTTCTCTGTCAGATCCATAACACAAAACTCAAACCCATAAAACAAAAATCAAACCCATTTTGGACATGAAGAATTTCATAATTTCATAGAAATCAAACACTTCAACCAATGAGCCCTTAACCGAAATCAATACAAAAATAAACTAAACAAGCATATA